TCATTTGACCAAAGGCAAGGCGACAAATGTTGGCTTGTATATGTCAATTGGGTTTTCTTTTATCTGAATACTTTGCTGGTGAATTGCCTGAGTATAAATAAAATCTTGCAACTGGGTATTTCTGATTTTGATGTTTATATGCTAAAATTAAGCTAAGCGTGTACATATTCGTTATGGGGGTGGTGGTGGAATATATGCAAAGGATATGGCCTTTTTCTGCATTTAAAGTCAATAATGATTTAAGAGCATCAGATGGAATAGTGAAAAAGTTACCTGTGCCTGAAAGTACGAAACAGTTTGTTTATGCTATCCGTGAGCCTGAATCGCAGTCTATTAGCTATATACTATCTGTTCAGAATTTATCAGAAAGGTCAGCTTCGGATGTTGAGTATCTCATAAGAGGGATTAAGCCTGATGCTGTTATTGTTCACATGGGAAGCTTTAATGATTCGGACATTAGGGTAAGTGAGAATAGTGAAAATGGTGATAGCATTCATGAGTACGCCATTCCAACATCATCATTTGAGGTGTTGAAAAGATGTTTTGTGCATAAGACCAATACCGAGAAGTATGAGAAAGTGGCAGGGAGTTTATTTTTGAAGGAAGTTTTTGGGGTGAGTTTCAATGCCCATGTTATGGCTGCCAAGAAGGCTGCTGAGGAAGTTGGTTCTTCATTTCTTACTCTTGAATTGCCTTTCGTGAAGTGCATCACTGATGGAGATGGTGAATGTGGTTTGGACACAGGGGTAGAGCAGGTGGTGGAATCAGGAAATGGATTTCTAGGTGCTTTTGGTTTTCAGCCGAGTAATTTGGTTTGTGGAAGGAATATGGTTTCTGTGAGGTCGAGGGGTTTTTATGTTATGAATGATGTTCAGTCTCAAATGGTGAAGTTGCTCTCTACATATTTGGTTCAGTCAAGTACTATTTTGAAACTCGGTAGTGAAGATGTTAGGCCTCTAGTTGATTATGAGGCTCCGCAGTTTGCAAAATCTGCCTATCCCTTGCTTGTTGATTTGCATGACATATTTGTTGACATCCCCTCTATGGGAAGGGCTCTGGCTTGTGCTCAGAAACTTCTTAGTGATGTTAACAAGGGAAAAATTGTTGATTCCCAGCTCCTATCTGAATTTTACTTATTTCGTGTTGCAATTGAGGGGCTGAGAATTGCATTGAATAATGCTGGCCGGCTTCCTTTGAGCAAAATAGGAGACCCTGTCTTGGCTAACTCTAAGTTCTGTGATCTTCCTCTGGAGGATCAGTCACACGCTATTCTTGCACAGGCTCTTCATAGCCAAACTAAGAAATTCAATTCAATAGTTGTAGTAGTTGATGCTAGCGCATTAGCTGGACTAAGGAAACACTGGAAAACCCCTGTTCCTCCAGAGGTTAAAAGTACAGTTGAAGAGCTTATAACTAATTGTGAAGATAATGAGGAAATCTCACACCAGAGTAACATGAAACGCTTGTTGGCTGATAAACCGGTGGTGGCAGTTGGGGCAGGTGCAACAGCAGTTTTTGGAGTTTCTTCCCTCTCTAAAGTTATTCCAGCATCAACTTTTGTCAAAATTGCAACCTTTCATGTCCCAACTTCACTAAAACTTTTGTTGACTCAAACACAAAAGATTGTTTTTGCACTTGGCAAGGGTCTTGGCCCAACAAAAGTGGTAGCCCCAGGAATGGGGAGTTCTGCGTTGAAAAGTTCTACCCTGAAGGCTGCTGTGTCTGCTGAGAAAATCCGAACCATATCTCACAGTGTTATAGCGTCCGCAGAGAAAACTAGTCTTTCTGCCATGAGAACAGCTTTTTATGAAATAATGAGGAAACGCCGAGCCAGACCCATTGGAGTTTTGCCCTGGGCCACCTTTGGATGTAGTATTGCTACTTGCACAAGCTTGCTACTCTATGGAGATGGAATTGAATGTGCTGCGGAGACATTTCCTGTGGCTCCATCAGTTGCTAGTTGGGGTCGTGGAATCAAAAGTTTACACCAGGCAGCTGAGGCTGTCAGGCAAGCAGAGAGCTCCAAGCTACAAAGATCAATAGAGTCCCTCCTGCACAGATTTAAGAACGTAAAAATTCAATAATGAAAGAATTGTACTAGACTTCAGTGCTTATAAATTGCTTTCCGGTTGAGCTTGAAATGATCGCAGCAATTTATTCTGTAAATAGAATACTAGAACACTGGAGGTTTCTTTTGCGATAGTTATTATGAGGTTTGTACACATTCAAATGATAAAGAGAGAAAATGCAGGATTTTGTACAGGTTCTTTTTCTTGGTTTTTAAAATTAATGATACTACATTTGATGCTCTAGGGGGGATTCATGGAAACCTCGGTTTCTTATTCACACACAAGCCTCTATCCTTGATGCTTGCAGTGGAATTTTAAAATCATCTATTTCAAATTTTACTGCTGGAGATTCCAATTTGATCCTAGATAGTAAGGGAGTGGATATGGTCAACCACAGGATGAGAAAATCTTATAATATGAGGACATGCATAATATGTACATTTATTTCTCATTCATTTTCAGAATTATTGTATTGCATATCGGGGCAATTGAGTTTTCAGGGTCTTTTAGCAGATGAGATCTGATTTTGCTTTATGCATTTTGTCATGTCAGTGAGCTTCAATCTTGGTAAGGATGCTTGTGTGTGAATATATGTATATATGGTAACTCCTTTTTAGGCTTTCAGTTCACAATGGCAAATTCTTTATCACGATGGACATGCTTATAGAAAGTTAAATTAGCTTATAAGTTCCAGCTTTAAGGATTCCAGGATTGACTTTTACTTTTTGTTAATAAACCGTGTAAATAATCAACTGTCAGTTCAGATAAACATACATTTGAAGATGCGGACGCTTTTAAAATATATGAAGGAAAATCAGTTATTCTTTGGTTATGGTACAAGAGAAAGAATGAAAAGGCAAACAGGGGATTTTTCTTTCTTATTTCCTTTCAGTAATTTTATATTTCCTGAATTTCTACAGTTTATTAGTGTTTTGCTGTTCAGTGTTGTAACTTGCACAGGCTTGCTTATTTATGGAGATGGAATATGAAGTGTTTCTGAGTCGTCTCCTCCAGCTTCTTCAAAGGTATCTCAGGCAAGTAAAGAGCTCGAGGACTCGAATATCAATTTGTCTTGTAGAGATTTAAGAAGATAGTCTTCAACAAATAGGAATTTGATGTTGAGAATTAGTGCTTATTAACTGGTTTACACTCAGATCCTGAAATGGTATTCATAAATTCATTGTGTAAAATATAAATAGAGTCTTGAATAGAAGAGCTTTGATTGTGATAGTTGATACAGAAGGAGCTTAGAAATGTCCTCTGTGGTTTCATTCTTATACTGGAATCCAATATCTAGATGGAACAGAAGGATTCTGTAACCATTAGTGGTAGGCTGTTACTTTTGTAGATAGTAGATTGAAAATGGCAAAGAAAAGAAATCAATTTCTTTTCATGTTAAGCCCAGGAGAATGTTAAGACACTCACATTCATGTGTAGAACAGAAGTAAGGATGGTACCTGGGAGGATAGAAGAATGTTCATTCTTAAAGCGAAGCCTCGAGAAGAAAATGAAGTCAGTGACAGGATCTGAACTTTCCGTTAGGGTTGTGATCATGATGTGGTATCTCGAGTCTCCAGTAAGTTATAATCAGGTTTGCTGTCAAGGGTTGATTCCCAATATTGGTATCATCTATGGTGGCGAGGCAGGTTTCTTGGAAAGCGTCATCGGGCTGGCAGTGGCATTAGGCTTCTTGGTAGCGTTGTTGCCTTCTTGGCGACAGTCGATGTTTTTGACGGGACGTTTAATACACCCTGGTGGCTGATGAGATTCTTTGGAAAAATCAAATCTAACTTGATTTTAATAAAAAAAATTAACTGAAGCAAACAGGGCTAAGTTTGTTTGAAGTATCAATAGACGTATCAACAAGTATATTTTTGAATTGGATGAACAATTCGACTTGATTTCAAGCAATTTTTAACAGAAAAATTCTAAAATGGTATAATCGACTAATTGGGTGGCAATTTGGTGATAAAAATAATCAAATTAAACTTATTATACCAAATTCAACTTTCAATAAAGTTTTAGACAATTCACCAATAATTTTCAACAAGGAAAGTTGATCATAAAAATTAGGACTATGCTATGTGTACATGGTATAGGGGTGTACATAATGTGCTGTGTATTGCTATGTACACCCAGCAATATTCTAAAAATTATTCCCCATATTCTCACCTGAATCCGATCTTTCCACGTGACCTGCCAACTCAACTTGTTTTTGCAGATGCTAAATGTAGGGCGTAGGTTGAAAATTTTGTTTTTTCCTTTTCAAATCCAACAAATAAACCCACAAAACAAGAAAAAATGGAAGATGGAAAATTCAATATCAACGCAGAGGATCTATCAACAATCGGAGGTATAGCAACTGTGTCACTCCTGCATTCCTTCATACCAACCCATTGGCTGCCCTTCTCCATTGTTGGTCGCGCTCAGAAATGGACGCTCTCCCGTACTCTCGTCGTCAGTAAGAAATTTCCTTTATAAAATATCGTATTTATCATGCTGTATCATTTAAAAACATGATTTTGCAAAAAGGTAATCTAGGCTTTAGTTATATTGAATTATATTAACATTTTCAGCAACCGCGAGCTTCTTGCCAAGCTGTTCGTTCTGCAAAATTAAATTAGGGAAATTTCATGTATGATGATCTTCTGTTAGCTCTTTATAACCTTTATGGACCTGATGCAATGTGATTTAATATCTTGATGCTTATGTTGAGCTTTGAAAAATTAGGAAGCTATGAGTTCAATTAAGTTTCCAGAATAAAAAGGTTCACGTAGTAAATTTCTGGTTTTGGATATGATTATATATTATTTGCAGCTATGAGCTTAGGTAGAGTCTTGAGAGCAAGTCGACTTAGTTGAGATAAATTCCCTATCAAATCCTCCACGTCCTTGTGTTTCCCATATCAGATGATTATTGATTAACATAGAAAAGTTGTACATTGAAGCGAGGGTGTGGTAAAATTGAAATCAAAATAAAGTATAGTGGCCTTGTAAGGATACAATCTAAGAGTCTGTAATGTATAAATGTTGTTAACTACAGATTTTAGGATAAACAGATCACAATGTTTTCAACTTCCTCGAGAAACTCAATTACACAAACAACTATTGAAGTGATATTTGGGCAAGGTCATCTAATGTGCATCCAACTTTTCGACTATTATAAATGTGTTTATAAGTATGAAGGAGTAGTGTGGTTCATGCTTCTACTTTGACAATGCCATCTTAGTTTATGTTATTTGACCAGATGTATAAATGTGTGCATCGCTATCCTTTTTTTATTCTGCACGTTTGACGGTGCTGTGGGTGCCTTATTAAGTCCAGATTTTTGCTATAAAAATTGGCAAGGGAAACTGTTACCTCCCTATTTAATGCTAAAAATAGACTCTGGGAGAGGTTTATGCTAATATGAATGGAACTTTTTATGTATTTCCAATTACATTTTCATAGGACAATATTCATTCTTTTAACCATGCTTGCCAATTTTCATCCAGGGAGCACTTAGATTGATACAAACACAGATTTTCATGAACCGTATCATCTTTGAATAAGTTCACCAAGAGTTTTCCTTATGTGGAGAAGCACTTCACTGTCCAATTATTAAATAACGAGAATAGGTAAATGGATCCAAACCACAGTTTGAGCGAATGTTGCCTAGAAAGGCCTAAAATCAGGGTGTGACTTACGAATAGTAAGATAGTAGTTTGCTATCTTCCAACATCCTCCACCAAAAGCTATTTTGTCATCCTCCCCATCAGTCAATTTGAGGATGATGTAGTCGTGGCCCAAGTCAATGAAGTCAAGCTTCTCATTTGAATTCCTCGTTTTGATAATTTTCTTAACCAGAACCTTACTAAGTGCATGTTTGGGGAACATTATAATTTCCTTATAATTGAAAGTTCAAAGTCAAACATAAATTTTAACCACATATTTCGTAGGACCACAATTACTACCTACTTATCCACCACTCACTTAATATAATTTTTGCGACTTATAATTTTATCCAAACTAACACTAAAGCGCTTAGGAAATAAAATATGCTGGCAGCTTTAGGTATCCATTTGAAACTTAAATGAACTTATCACCTTGGAATTGCTTTGAACCCACCTAGACTTGATTTAATCTTCCTTGATGCGTGAAAGAATAACCTATTCAAATTTTGGCAGGTTGATAGAATTATGATTATATTAGTATCTTTTTTTTGTATTATTCAAATTTCCTACGATTTGAAATTGGCCATGCTGTGTCTATAATCTCTTCTTCCACCAATCAATTCTGGTTTATGATAAAACATAGTATTTAGATTCTAAATTTTGGTTTGCTATGTCTATAATCTCTTCTTCCACCAGTCAATTCTGGTTTATGATAAAACATAGTATTTAGATTCTAAATTTTGGTTTTCATTTGATGACATCTAAATCTTTGTATTCTTTCCTTGAATGCCATCACATTTGCGTAGCCTGAACTGAATAAAAGGTCATCCAATGATACCAATGTCTTCTGTGACTATGTTTCTTGTGATCTTTGCTAATTAATTATCTTCATGCAGCCGCATTTGGAGCAGTTTTGCATGTGATGTCTACTGCGTTGCTTGGCATAACAGCAATTACCATAACAAACACCATTGCGGGTGAGGAAACTGTGCATAAACTTGCATCTTTACTGCTCATAGTTCTCGGTGGTGGTTATATCATACTGTTTCTGTCTGGAAAGGGCAGTCACAGCCATTCCCACAACCAACCCATGGAGAAAATGGCAGTTGCTGGACTTGTTCTTCTTCCTGCATTGTCTCCTTGTGCAAGCACTCTTCCAGTATTTCTTGCTGTTGGAAACTCATCCTCTATGATGGTATTTGCTATCATAGTACTGTTATTCAGGTATTTATATTGTTTAAGTTCGAAATTCTGTTTTATCTATATCATTATTGAATTCTGTTATGATCACATCTTGGTGGCATGAAATATTAAACCTTAGATTCTCATTTGTAATAGATGAAGTCGTGTATATACTTTATGTGTGTGTATTATACATTTTCTGCAAATATTTCTCTAGAAGTTCCTGAGGCTTGATATAGGATTATGATATTGGAATTGCAGCACAATAATTGTAATGACGTCGTTGGTGGCCCTCTCATTTTATGGTGCAAGTCAGCTCAAATTCCACTGGGTGGAACGCTACGACAAGCTTCTTGTAGGTTCAGTTCTATGTTTAGTCGGAGTTTTGACCCTCCTCTTCCATTACCATGATGGAGATGCGAGTTCCATTGGAGAGCATTTGCATAGGAAACTCATTGTTCTATAAGAATTAACTCAAGATTCTTAGTACATTATAGCGTACGAAGAAGAAATATAAAACATTTGTTTTCTCTGCAGTCCGATAGTTACTAAATCCGTTGTTCGTGTGGTATGTGTACTTCTATGCCATTGTTATGAAGTCGGGCATGCTATTTTGTGGTAAATTATAGAGTAGAGATACTTCTTGTGCCTTTTGTTGTGAAGTACAATGATCTTATACCATTTGGTTCCCCGGCTGCTGCATCTTATGGTTGTACTCCTTGTTCTAGTAATCCACAATCGACAAATGTTAGATTTCTTGAAATTTCATGTTTGGCAGTGCTTTCTTAAGTTCATAAGTTGGTCAAACATTAATTTTATTCACAATTTCTGTGTGATCCGCAATTTTTATTTACACATTTTGTAGGATCAACTACTCATAATCTACAAAAAGTTCAACCAGACGGACACCAATATGTGGGACATTTTCACATCGAACATTATCAGTGAAAAGAACTAGTTGTATATAATAGTTTGTGTAGAGGTGTCAAGTGAGTTGGGACAGAACGTTCTGTTGGAAAATTCTAACATATTTGGGGCTACACGTATTATATTAAAATGTGTTGTTGTAATATTATTCTTAAAAAATTGTCAATTAAAATGATCCACTAAAGA